ACTTCAGGATTAAATAAAGTAATATCTACGAGTAATTTCATAATCATTATATCTACCATTGATAATATAGTGATTATTGTTGTCATAATGATATGTTTCTTTAACCAATCCCTAAAATCCCTTTTATTGGTTTGTTGAGTTTGTCGCATCATAACTCCAAGTACAAACAAAAGATTAAGCATTGCTGGTACCGTTAATGTCATTAAACTAAATAAATGAAAAAAGGTATTTTAAATCTTGAAATTTTGCTTTAAATATGAAAACATTTAAGATGGAAATTAATACCTTAGAAAAAATAATTTTGGAAAAATTTTTACAGTATTTATCAAAAATGTCACGTCCGAAACAAAATCTAGTAATTTAAGTAGAACTATATACGTCGTCATATTTCTTCCCTAATTAAAAAGTATTTAGATTTTGCTATTATTTAAAAATAATTTAATGAATTTTGTACACACATTGAGAAATATTAAGACTCCACCCGTTAATGCTAATATTTCGGTTAATGTATCTACAAATAAATTAAAGTAAATAATGTTGATCTAACTAACAAATGAAACCAGAGTTATAAATGATCCCTACGAAATTCTTCAATAGTGAAATTACTTGATGAACTCATTATTTGTAAAATCGTAAAGTCAGAAATTTTATTAACTAGGGAAAGGAAGTAAGGTATTTATAGTCATTTTGCTTTAAATATATTCTTTTTTTTTTTTCTATCATAATAACGCATTGCAGATCGGAACAATTTTTATTAATCTAACCTTAACGATTAACAGTCAAAAAAATAAATGAGTAACACTACATAAAGTTCTAAAAAGGTATCTTTTTCTAGTCTTTTGAGGCTGGTGTATAAGTTTCCTTATTTGGATATTCGTGTAATGTCTCGTGATCTACTCCGTTTATATAAAAAATCTATTCCACCACGAATCCACTAACTTACCCCACGCTACTATTGGCTGGTCTAATTGATTATGCTAATTTTCATATACCAAAGCGAATCCTAACCTTCCAAAATAGTTTCCGAGTCCCTCAAATATTTAATAAAAATTGTAACATCACAAAACAGCTAAAACCTAACACTAACACTAAAGTTAATCCTTAATAAATCTTAACTATACCAGCCAACCGTAGCGTGGGGGGAGGGGGAAGTTAGTAAATCCTTCCGCCGCATTATTTCTTTAACTAACAAATGTTTCTAAAACGTAATTAAATAAAAAGCAAAAATGCATAATTTGCATATTAAACTTTATTTATCATATCCATTTATTTAAAAAATAAAAGCTTGAATTTATTTTGCGCATTACAACGGGAGTAGGATCAAGGTTGGTGGACGAAATACCCCGTCAATAATTGAGAAAATCAAATACTAGATAGAATATACCATTAATTAAATAAAAATTTTAACACATACCCCTTGAAACTGTGATCTAATCATTTTTTAAAAAAAGAAATTATCGTCGTATTAAAATTAAATAAATTTTCCCTTATATAATTTTTCAAAATGAATTGTATATTATCATATGAGGATACTTATTATTCTTATTAATTATAATCTTTCCCTTTTCAATCTTTACAGCCTCTGAAATTAACGAAATCCTTGCATATCTGAAACTTTCCCTTAATGATTGAAATGTTGAATGCCGATTGCTGAATGTTATATTAATTAATTACTTCATAATAACGTTACCGTTACCATATTTATAATTACCAACGAAGCTTACCAAATGGAAACACATATTATAAAGTTTTCATAAATTGGAATTTTACAAAAAAAAATCTCCGTTACAAATTCCATAAACATCATCAATGAAATATTTTGAATATACAGTCGTCCCCCTCTATAGTCACCCTGTACAATCACATCATATAAATCCCTCATTATAAGCACACATTTCGTAAGAACCAATACCAATTAATGCTATATAAAAACCCCTTTATAATCACAGTGTTTTTATAGTCTCACCAACACTTAGTAACAATATCTAAAAATCCCTCTATATAGTCATTTTTTTTATAATCATACTTTTTATTTTTGGTCCCGAGGGTGTGACTATAAAGGGACGACTGTACATATTTTTTTCTTTCTTATACTGATGCAACAAGACTGAAAGGTTTAATTTCATAAATATTGCAAAATCGACCGAAACTTCGTGAGGCACAGCTAATATTCATGTTAGTGGTTATGACGGCATAACTATGACCGACCGGTTAACCGACCCATGTTTTAATTAGTAATATAATAATTCTTGTATTAGTTTTTTTTAATTAGAAATTCAAAGTTTGAATTATATAATCAAATTAAATATTTTTTTTTATTTTTTTCCTTTTATTTAAGTAAATAAATAAGTTATAACTTGATGAGAATAAAGCATAAATAAATATTTGAGAATGTTTTAAAAAAATTATTATTTTGTAATATTTAAAATTTTTGTTATTATAAAATACATAAAATTTTACTGTTAAAATTACGTTACACTAATTTCGTAACACGAGAAATTTTTTAATATTTTCTTTATTTTTGAAATTCAATATTTTTATTAAAAAATGAAGGCTCGGATGTTCTCACAGTTAGTTAATTACAGGTTTATCTAAGGCCGACGCTGAACACAAAGGATGGGAACATCTTGAATAAGCTAATTTGGAAATAACTTTTCGAACTATTCCGAAGTAACAATAACTTTTTTTTATTTGTGTCGATCATAAATCTTAGATTTTTGACTAAAAAAATGAGAAATTTTGCAATAATATGAATCAAATTTCATTCTGATTTAATAGCTTAGAACCCATATGTGACCGGGCAAATAAAGCTGGCTACCATTTCCATTTCTTCCGGGCGACTCTAGGACGATTTAGGACGGTTTAGTTCAATGTTCGTTAATCTAAGTTTGGATGTGATAATTCCTTTTATATATTATTGAATAAGCAATTTTACAAATTATCCCGAGATTTCTTTTTTAAAGAAAAAATGGAAACTCAATTCGATAAATTAAATGTTTCAAATAATAGTTGTTCACCATTTGTTGGTTAAAATTATGGTGTAAAGAATGATCCTTAGTGCATAATTGAAGGATGGACTAGTCGAAATACTGAATTCAATAAATTCATTAAAGATACAATGTATGTCGTAAGAAATATACCCACTTGATGATTGTACTTCAATAAAAAGAGTTCTTAACATAAGGAATGTAATTGAATTACAAATAAACTCAATGATGAACTATACAATGTATTTATATTTATATTTCAGAAAAGAAATAAAAGACATTTTTTCATAAGCAATCGCATATGGGTCAATAGAAACTTTAAATGCGTCAATGTATTATTTTATTTTTATTCATAAGACTGCCGATAATTATGCTGATCGGCCAAAGCTATGTTCGGTTAAGCGTTCTCAAGAGAAGATATTTATTTTACTGGCATTATATTACTTACAAATGATAATGTATTAATGGAATATTGAATAATAAACTTATTCAGAAACAGGATCTTCATTTTTGAAATTTTTAGGGCCGGTCCTAAGGACTGGGTTTCAACTTAACGGTTCCATGAAATTATTTAATTTCTTTTAAAAATTGTTCTTAAAATTACTATAACAATTTTTTAACAAGAGTTACTTATTAAGATAAGTGATTAGACTTTTCTATAATTAGAAATTTCTAAATTTGTTCAAATCGTCTTTATTTATTTATTTTACCAATTTTATGAAATAAATGCGGATGATTTTTTTCCCGAAACTTCCTGTTGAGGAACGGCGGCGCCAACGATATTTAATAAATTTTATATATACTTTTTTTTTTGATCGTTATTCGTCGCGAAACTTGCAACTTTTTTATATATTAAAAACGTCCTTAGAATAATTAAATGTTACTAAAATTAAAGACATTTTAGAATAACTAAGTGTTAGTGAATTGTATCGAATGAATTTAGTATGTTAGGTAAATAAATTATATAAATAAATTTAATATGTTAAATAAATTCTATTAATAACAAATTAAGTTATCCTTTTTGTTTCAACACAAATAAAAATGATGTATAAAATTATAAAAATCAAAATTAAAAATTATGGAAGCGCAACTTAAACACCAACTAAAGCCATTGCGCAGCCTAGATTTACCATAATCAGACTAGTCACTTTTTCGCTTAATTTGTTATTTGGTTGTACTGATCTTCAATGACCTCGCCACGATCGGTCGCACATTAAAATTGTCGGCAAATTAACATGGTTGGACTTTTTACTTACAAAATACTTATTTTTTTAAAAAAAAGTAAATTTTGGTTTCCTTTCATCTGGAATTTGCATTTCAATGAAATAAGTAGAAATGCTGAATTTTCATTTTTTTAAAATAAAAATAAAAATAAATAAAACTATTCATAATTATTGCCATTTGAGCTGTTTCCGTTTCTTTTCTCCGAAACATTTTAATTGATGGAATGTATATGAATTTATTTTCGTGTGATTGAGGATGATATAAATATTAATCAATGAACTTTAAATATCAACATCGATTGTTACAGCATTCCGCATTAAATATCGGAAATTTTGATTACATGATCCTTGCCAAAGCTAATAAAACTTGGCTAAAATAAATATCTAAGGTATCCGAAGAAATGATAAAAGAATTGAGGTTTGACTTGAGATTGCGAAGTCTGAATGGATAGCCGTGAGGAGCACGGGAGCACAAGAGAAACATGATGATGGAATTGCTTACTCTGTAAGTCTATTTTATTTATGCAATCTGATCATTAAACTGAAATTGTAAGTTTTTTAAAGAAACTCTGCTAGAGGAAGAAAACGTTTTTGTAGAGGAACTTTGCAGAAAGACCGATCGAAAGGCCATAAGTCAACGCTGATATATTAAATGATATTTTAGAGAACTTTTTTGTAGAGGAACTTTGCAGAAAGTCTGATCGAAAGGACAGAAGTCAACGCTGATATATTAAATGATATTATAGAAATGTTTGGGTAAAGTTATCATCAGATGATCTTCTTTTCCCTTCATACTTTTTAAAAATTTTAAGTTGTTGTATGATAAACCAATTATTGTTCTATTGAGACTATTTTTTTTCCTCATTATTATAGTTTGCGAAGTTTGTTTCACATTTGATTGGTTAAAATATTTTCATATAAATTTTTTGCATGGTTGGCATATTTTTTTACCTCAAAAATTTTAATCGAAAGATTAAAAATTTCGTATTTGTTGTTAATAAATTTTGGAGGTGTCTCTTTAAATTAAAAATAGTCTTATTACGATTCATTTCGTTAATTTCAAAGTATATTACAATTAGGTAACTCATTTAGCTTTATAATATAATTTCCTTGTGTATTAGATTATTAGATTGACAAAATCAATAATGCTTGAGGTTGGAACCGGTTAATTTTTAACCGGCGTTAGACCTGGAATTGTACCGAAACCAAGCTAACTAACTAAATAACTCAATTATCTTGTAGGTTTTTCCTAAGAGAAATTAACGATTAACAAACAAACAAAACGATTTATTATTACGATTCACTGTGTAGTTAGTAATCACGATCAGATCCTTGTATGAAGACAAAAAGAAGGTTGAAAGTGTAAAATAGTATCTTTATTAAGGTTGTAAAGTTATAAGACTAGTCCCTAGACTTATATCCAAAACTTCTTTTGAAGTACTCTACCGGCTTAAGGCCAACTTATAGGTAGGACTATATATATAAATTGTTAACTAGTACTATACTATGCCTGCCTTTTGTTAATGATAAATAATACATGAAATGAAAAATAAGCTATTTGATACATGTTAATTAAATGTATCACATGTTACATGACTGACAAAATAGTCATGTATTACTTCCATGACAATCGCGCTCATCTGAAGCGCAGTACGATTTGTGTCTAACACTGATTAATTAAATTAATTAGGATGAATTTAACTCCGGCCGAAATTCAATTTCTGGCCAGGATTAAGATTGCAAAAATATTGTCCAACTCCGGTCAATTTTATAGATATTGGCCTAAGTTAATTTTAACCGGTTAAAGATTTTTGGCACTTACCTCTATTCTGAAGTTATCTAAGTATAGTTGCCTGCAAACTCATTTTAACATATATTTCAACAGATTTAATAAGAATTTAATATTTGACGGAATTTTATTATGGTTTCGAGTTTTGACGGTTTTTCCAATAAGGTTTTATAATACAAAAAAAAATATTGTCGTTTGATATGATACAAAGCGAACAAAAGAATAAGAAATTAAAAAATTGAAACAAAACCGAAAATTATAATAATAAAAAAAATACATACCGCATTTAATTACGAAGAAAGTCAACCTGAAATATGAAGCTATAGAATAAAAAAAAAAACAACAATACCTTATATATGCAATCTGAAAGTGAACCAAATGAAAGATTTCGTCTAAAGAAATCTTCTAATTGAAGTAAATTAAATAAAGTATAATTTAACAAATAAAAAAAAAATAAATTTTCATAACTATAAATTAGACAGACCCTCCTCCATTAACGAATCCGAATAAAAAAATTAATCAAAAAAAAAATTTGAAAATGGTATAAAAAAAGACCTTCTGATCCTTGCGATCTAAAAGAAAAGGATGCAAAACTTATATCTATTGGTGACAAACCCTGAGCCGACAGACGTCGAAATTTGAACTATTTTTTATTATCGCGAAATTTTGGGTGGTAAAGCTTTGATATTTTCAATTATCCCTTCAAAAAAGAATTACCTTTCGGGAAATCCTTTTAATTTTATACATCTACTTTAATTTATTAATTAGAATTATAATTTGAAGAAAAATTCGTGCCGAATTTTTCTAAAATTATTTCATTATGTCCGATCTCTGTCAAGTCCAAAATAACATAATTTTTATTTATAATATTTCTTTAAATAATATCTATTATCATAAGGTCAGAACGCTAATATTATGGTAACAGTAGCTTTTGAAATCTTATTACTACTTATCATATAAAGATTAGATATTTAACCAAACTTATGAAACTACGAATATTATTACGATCTAGCTAATGATATTTGAAATGCAAAAAAAAGGAATTGAACAATCAAAACCCATCAAAGCCTGTCGAAATTGTTGTAACATTTTTTATTTGCTATAAGAATTTGTATTATAAGGAATAATATAAATAAGTCTTGCTGAAAATCCATGGTTTAAAATGGAATGAAGCTATTTGGTGCTTAATGGTAAAATTTAACCAATCAGCGAAAATCATGAAAAAACGATTCCAGATTATTTTTTTTTTAGACAAATGATAATTACACTCTATTTTTTTAGATTATTTTAGCCAATCAATCCGTGGGTACGACCTACACTAATAAATAAATGCTTGGTTACTAAAGTCAAAATTATTAGAGATGAAAAAGTAAATAATTTTTAGTCATTATGAAATTAGCTAAAGCTAAAGTTTAAATAAAGAGTTAGCAGGATGGTTGTTTCAATATTGAGCTGAGTTTTTAAATTTTCGTTTAAAAAAAAAGTTGGTAAGCTGGTCAATTGAGTACCATAGCAATAGTAAAGTTGGTAAACTAGTTATTTGTGTATTATCGCAAGAGATTTCTGTTTAGGAGTGTGGTAAGGTTGGTAACTTATTATTTGAGAATTTTAGAATTTCATTAAGGAGTTAGGTAAAGTTGGTAAGCTTGTTATTTGAGCGTAAAAAAGGTGAGATTTATCAATTTTCGATATCGTTGTAATCTTCCAAAGGTTTAATATGTCATCCTTAATAGGATGTATTCTCATCATTAGTCCGGAACGAAGTGAAGGACTATATGTGTACAAGTCTAAGGTTACACGAGGTGTCCCGCTCAATAATTGAGTCAACACTGATTGGCTCTTGCAATAAAAAAAAGTCTGGATAAAGCTCCGGACTTAACAACGGTCCCCGTTTCCCTAGTAATTAGTTAATTCTACATTTCTGGTTCTTTCTTCTAATTAATTAATAATTTAACGATTTAAACTTTGGTTACTTCCTCTTTTCTTTAATAGTTTTTTCTCGCTCTTTAACCTTTTCTTCTAAATATTTGAATTGTGAACTTAAATCTTCGTTTTTGGTTCTAATTCCTTAATCTTGCTTCCAAGTTTTTGAAACCATTTCTGTGATTAATTATTTATAAATTTTTAAAAAAAATTTTTAAGTATTTTTTCAATAATTTTTTTTAAATTTTTTTTCGATATTACTCTTTTATTTTGGTGAATAATTCCGATAGGAGTTTCTATTATTGTTAAAAGCAAATAATTTCTTTCATTTAATTTGTTTATTTACTCTTTTATTTGCAAAGAAAATAAACAGTAGAGGGTTCTCCGCTAAATTTTTTTTTTAAAATTTTTTTTCCACATTTAATGAATTCCATAAATGTTAGATTCGGATATAACGTTCATAAAAAGGACTAATAGTTGTAATAGTTTAAGTATAATTTAAGTTTTTAGCGTGATTTTATCTGCACACTAATCCTTATTTAGACTTAAGCCAGCCATTAATTTACGTGAAGCAAATTACGATTTAATTATTATTTTTCGAGATTTAAACCATTTTTAATTTTTTTTTTAAGATACTATGAATAGGAATGATAGAATTCCTTGACCGAACGTTTATTTAAAATATCGATTGAATTTAACATTTTTGGCTTTATTTAGATCCTTTGCTTTTACACTTCTATTATTTTTTTATGTAAGAAAATAAAATAAAAACGAATAATTAATAAAAAATGACTTACTTAAATATAAATCGACGCAGTAAAATGCGATTGAAATGCCTAAAAAAGAAGGAAGAAATTTATAAACGAGGAAAATCTCAAAATTTATATATATAAATATATATATGAAAATAGCTTTAAAACCTTTAGTACTTACAATACCATTTTCAACATTTAATTAAAATCTTCTATATAATTAGATCTTTTTATTTCAAATGACAAATTTACAATATACTTTCCTCATTTCATCTTATTTTATTTTTTATGTAAATATTTTCACCTTAACTTTTAGGACAAAATACATTCATTAAACCATATCTGATTATCAGCAATAATTTTGGCTCTTATGTACTTTTTAACTACTTTATAACAAATAAATATTCAAAAATTATTACAAACGTTTTTGGGTGAATTTCGCTTGTAAATTTATTATTAATTGTAATTTTATAAATATGCAAATTCATTACGTTCGAAAAACATAAGTTCGATAATTCAGTCAATAGACGCTGATAGTTAGAAATCTTTAAAAAGGTATTCCTCCATCCGTTAGCTATTCGATCGGATTTTGCATAGAATTGCTTTATTAAACAAATTTCGTGAAACTCAGCATATAACTACTTTTCATTCATTTTTAACTTTCTCCCTTTCTTTAGTAAATACAATTACTTGGTGCCATATAATTATTAGGATCCTGAGAAACAATCACATATTGGATTTCTTGCAGTTGGTGCTCTTTATATATTCCATTATTCGATGGTCTCAAGAATTGTTAATTTTTCGTTGCCTTTCCCGTATGCGATAAAAATTGACTTTACAAGTTTACGTGTTGTGTCCTCAGATTATTGGATTATTTGATACAGGTAGAAAACAAAAATTCTTTAAAATAATTTTTTTTAAAAGAATTTATTTTAAATTTGTGCTTTAAAAACTTGCTGATTGATGTTTTAAGCCTGCATTATTTTATGAATGTCTTGCATAAATCGTATTTAGGAAAAGTTGAAATAATTTTCACGAACGTAATTTTAAACAACATCATAAAATGGTGTTGGTGATAGGGATATCGTTGCAAGTTTTTTTAGGAAGCTCTAAAATAATATTTATTCACTTTAGATTTGTATTCAACGCGATAGAAAAAAGTGTGAGTAATTGTGAGGAT